AAAAAAAAAAAACCATAAAACACATAAATATATTGAACCCCTTCAAATCAATTTGAACTCAAAAGGGCATGAAAGGGATAAAATTTGGTGTTTCTCCCGCAAAGCACCGCAGGAAGGAAATGGTGTTCGACCCGAACCCGCTATCCCTCAGCGTGCCCGAACCCGCTTTCGAGTCGTGGCTCCGCGACTCCGGCTACCTCGAAGTCCTCGACCAGCGCACCACCGACCTCCACCGCCTCTCCGCTGCCGGACCCTCCTCCTCCTCCGCCGCGATTAGTTCCGACGGGGTATCCCTCATCTCGCGGCTCATCTCCCGCATCTGGACCGTCCTATCGCTCCTCACCTTCAGCCCCTTCTCGAAGCTCTCCACCAGCGATTTCACCGGCGCCACGCCGAGCTGGACCTTGGCGTTTTTGGGCTCGTCCGAGTCGTACTCGTTCCCGGCCGAGCCGTCACAGGCTCGACTCCGAGTCCAAGAGAACGTCAAGCGGTTTGCCCGCAACTACGCATCACTCTTCGCCCTCTTCTTCGCCTGCTCTCTGTAATGAATTTTCATCTCTCTCCATAAATTCTCTCTTTGTGGTGGAATTAACTGTGTTATTTTCGTTCTTATGTTTTTGCATCTGGTGAAAATGGCTATTGAAATGTTTGAATGTGTCCTGAGATAAAATTATGAGTGTGATTGTGAACTGAAAATCTGCAGCTGATTTTTTTGAATTTGATTATTTCCAACTTTCTTGTTTTTTTGAGAATCTATGACTATCTATGTGGAGTAGCTCTACATATTTGTGATTTTCGATTGCTATCTTATCTTTTCAGCATGTCTGTGGTGTAGCTTGAAACTGTTAAAAGAATCGAGTCTCGTTCTGAAAAATGTCGGCAAATTTGTGTTTTCACATTGCTGTATTATCTTTTAAATGACATTTTTATCTTTCGTTTTTCGGCATCTGTCTATGCAGAGTAGCTCGAAATCGTTAGAGAATCAAGTATTGTTTTGAAAAATGTCGGCAACTTTGTGTTTTGCAATCGCTTATCTCGATAACCTATGGTCCTATTGCACTGATTTTGTTGTAATTGTTTTATGCGGCAGATATCAGTTGCCATTAGCTCTTGCCGGTCTCATCTTGTGCTTAGCCTTGTGGGATGCGTTTAAATTAAGCAGTGATCGGTGGGGATTTGATCGGTATCCCGTAATAAGACAAACTTTGATTGGCATTGCTCAATGTGGTGAGTTTTTTCTGGCCTAACGGGTTTTCGCTTCCAATTTCCCTATTTTGCCCGGTTATTTCCCCACATAATGAGGGAAGATACTTGTTGAAACTTGAAAGAGCTATAGTTCTATACCAAGCACCGTGTTCTTTTCAAAGATTGTTTACGTTTTCAAGAGATATAATGTTGATTATAGGCAGTGTTGTAATCGAACCGAATGAGCCGAGCTTGGGCGTTTCGAGCTCGTGTTCGTTCGTTTTATTTTCGAACAAAAAATCGTGTTCGAACTCGTTCATTTAATTGTTCGTCAAAGTTCGACTTCGTTCGTGTTCAAATAGTTTTGGACATAAACTTTGTAAATATGTTTGGTTAACTCGAAATTCGAACTCGAAAATAAAAATATTTTTATATTTCAGATTTTTTTTAATTAAAAATCATGTAAATATATAAAAAAATTGTATTAAACTAAACGTTCGCGAACATTATCGAATGCGAACGAGCTTGTGCTCGTTCGATTATTAAATGAGCCTAATTTTCTAATCGAAATCGGCTCGATTAACAAAAGAACGAACTCGAACGAGCTTTTTCACGAACGTTCGTTCGTCAGCATTGAAAAAAATAGGCGCAAAGTCAATGTCCTTTTTCTTTTTACCAATAAAATTCATATATTACGATGAAAGAAGTTCATATAGTATTTGATTTTGCCTTAGAGAGAGATTTACAAATGCCTTACTATTTGCAGCCACTGTAGTGATTCTATTCATTTCCAAGGTCCAATTAGCAGTCTTCTGCGCAATTGTCGTAAGCTACGCAGGTAAAAAATATCAAGTCGTAAGAGCCGTTGGTTTTTATTTCTCGATGCTCGACTGGAGTTTTATCTCATCAATTATGTATTGTATTTTCTTTGTGCAGTCATGATATTACACGCCTCATTTAGAAAGTTGACCCCATCAAACCCACCTGCTCCAAGAGGTGATCACCAGAAAACGGCCAGAAAATAATGAAGCAGCAGTGAATGTGGGTTTTTTCTTCTGATAGAATTTGGCATTTTACAAATTGTTCCAGAAAGTGTGCAGCTCCATTCGATTCGGATCAACTTGCGAAGAGGCTATTTGCAGATAGAACCTCATTGATTTTGGGAGCAATATATAAGCTGCTAATAGTCCTCTGTAAAGTCAGTTGAAATCACCTGAAATTAGGGACCTGAAGGCTGTTCATCGTTAAAGTTGGCCTTCTTCTTCTTCTTCACATTTTTTTAATCACTGGTTTTCGAATCCTTGAGCTCGGCTTCGGAATTGTAGGAGTTCGATTTAATTGACGTAGCAAAAATCTTTCTTTCTAAGGCTAATAAATCTCGACAAACTTGTAATGGTGAAGTTTTGAATTGTGACCAAGGTAAATGAACTTAGTTAACTTGTGTTATAATTTAGTCAATTATTTGGCAATAAAAATTGAATTTAGGCTAATTCACAACTTGGTTAGATACAATGAGAAAATAAACCAATTATACCCTCAATAAACCATGCAAACTTCAAAGTTGGGAGTTTAAACAAAGTTATACAAATCACAAACAATAGACCTTAATCACTAGAGTTCTTTCTTTTTCCTGTTCTAGTACAAAGGCAACTTAGAGACTCTTGTCCGACTATCTTCTCGCTCCAAAGAACACACGAAAAACCATATAATAAATAACTAACAAAAATTATCATGCTATAAATTACATGTTTGTTGAATGATATGTACAGTAACAAAAAAATTTAACTTAAATAACACAAGGAGTAATGAAGTTTACCCAAAAGAAAAATGACAAGAAAGCGCCATATTTCAAGAATTTAGGTCCCGAGAGGCGTGGCCTTGCCATCTGCACATTTATATAGAAAGGGTCAGTCCACAATGTACATCACATTTGTTCACACGCTAGCAAAAGAAAACTCGTATCATACTATCTATTTATATTCGCTCGGAACTTAAAGGTTCGACTATAGCATGGAATTCAAATAGTAACAAAGATAATTAACACAAAACCACCCTTTAAATTTGTTCACAGATTCAAACATTTAATATAGGTGTAGTTAGTTTTCAAGTAATTGTGAACGAACTTTTGACTATTTTACTATAATAACTTCGATGAATCCCATATGTGCCAAATTGATAATAACGAACAGAATCTTTGACCGACCTCGAGAGCAAGAATCTTGCCAGTGGACTCATGTTGGAGTTTGAATTATGCTCCTTAGTCTGCTGTTTTTTCTTGCTATCAGCCTCTGGCCTAGTCGGTGGTACTTCAATCTTTCCCTTTCCGAATAAACGAGCTGCTAGATCCTGAAGGTCCTTCATAGACCCTTCCTTTGAGCTACAAAATATTTTTTTTTATTATTACTATTATGCATAATGTGAACCATGTAATCTTTTTTTTGCATTTAAAAGAAAATGAGAATTTAGAGTGATAGTGAACCTGGCCAGACGTTGAAGTAACTTGGTGACAAAAAGTTCGGAGGAACCAGGATTATAACGTTCCATGTCCATTAACGAGTTGGCTACTGTCTGATATACTGATCCTTCGGAATCATTAGTAATAGCCTGAGTTTTACCCATCATGCAGAAGAAAATTAGGCCACTTGATTTATCAAAATCAATTATTTGATTTGATGCATTTTGGAATTTGGATGCTTCAAATTTTGTCCGGTTTTATGCAATCATCTTCACAGTAAACATAAAATCTTTCGAAAGTTAAAGTTTTGTGTCATCATATAAGACATTATTGCGCCAATTCATTATCTTGTGAAGTGGAGGAATTTTAAGAGCAAATTCAAAGATGCATAATAATAATAATAATAATAATAATAATAATAATAATAATAATAATAATAATAAAAAAAATAAAAAATAAAAAAATAAAAGCTCCACGAGCTTACATCTTTAAGAGAAGGAATTAGAAGAACCGATAATGGGGCAGAGAGAGCCGCTGCAGAATTCCTTGCAGCATCATCATCTTCCTCATTACTTTTGTGGTGTGATCTTGGAAATGCTTTTTGTGCATCAAAATAATCACGAGAATAGCTGGAACAAAAAATTCATAACCGAAGGAAAAATCATGCATTATTTTCCAAAAACAAAACAAATAAACCAATAAAATATGTTCATCCATATTGAGCAAGATAATTCAATAAGAAAACCTTGATGAACCAGAGCTAGTCGTTGCTTGTTCGTTTCTACTCTCCTCAGCATCTCTCTTGCTAAATGCAGACCTTTCCCTCATATTTCCTTTTCTGCCCCCTTGTATTGCAGCCTTTGCCTTAGAAAAAAATTAAATATGCTTCAAATATCAGCCATGTAACAAAAAATTATCTCTTCACATCCATATTAAAGTGAGTTGTTAAGTCTTTTTACATGACTTGAGAAAGATAATTAAGTTGTGTGGAAAAATTCGTTCTTTAATTGTTTGAGAAGCTCTTTCCGTGAGAATTCCCATCAGACGGAGTTCAACAAATTTTAATAGATATGTATGGTAACCTCAGCAAGATTTGCTTCACTATCTTCAAGAACCGCACTAAAAGTTCTCTCTTGAAGTCCCAGCCTCGATTTTGCAGTTCTAGGAGAACCCGAATCTTCATTCGGAACACGATAAACAACAGTGCCACTGATGGAAGTATCTTCACTAGAGGCGAGTGTGCTGCTAGACTGAAACACCGAAAAAAAAAAGTCTTGATTGTTAGTTTATGGAATGAAAATATTAGATAACTAAAGGCTTGTAAAAAAAATAAACGCGATTCTTTTCCCTCATACCGTGAAATTTTGGTTGCTAAATGGAGAAGAAGGCCGAGTTGCTCTTGGTGATCGTATCACTACTGTCCCTGTCCCAGTGATATCTTCCTATAAACAGTCACAAAAAAAAAATCAAATATATTGCTAGACATTCATATGAATTTTAATCTAATCCATGATTAGAATTTATTTACTTCTGGAAAAGAACTTATTTATATGTGGGCACTGAATTTAAAATATGAATGAACTTTATACATACAAATTCACTTCTAATTCCTAGTCGAATTTGGAAATAATTCCATAAAAAAAAAATAACACATAAATACATCGAAAGGGATAAGAATACCATACATCTTCATCATATTTATCCAGCTTCATTGTAAAGTTAGCATCTTTCCTCAACTCTGATGAAGTATGTGCCGAAAGTTTCTCGGGTGTGGATTGATTCAATGGGAGCTCGGGTTTTCTATTCCGCATCTGAGGAGGCTTTACTATACTTCGTACAGTTCCAGTCCCGGTCGATCCACCAATACTGAAGTCCCATCCAGTATTCTTCAGACTGGCCGATGATGGCATCAGCAAAACGTTCACCAAACACAAGATCGGGATTTCGAACAGTATTAACAGATTCAACTGACCTGGCCCGAACGGTGTTTTCTGCTGCAGAATCTTTAGTCACTTTAACTGTTCCGGAAGCTTCCCCAACTGCAGTTGGGCCATTATTAGTTGCCTCTCCATCGTTAAGGAACTTGGGGCGATCCCTGAGTGGGAAAAATGATTTACTTTTAAAAATTTATTGGTTTTTCGGTGCGAAAACCTGAAAACTGGGATTGCATTTTCGCCAAAAAACGGACCAACCTGATTTTTTCGAGAAGCCTTGGACTCTTCCTAGCATTTCTGATAAACCGATGCTTAAGAAGCTCTTTTGCACTCGGCCTCTGTTCGATAATAAACAGAAGAAAATGATGGAAAAAAAAACGAGCGAATGGAGGACAACAATAAAGTAAAAGAAAGCTACCTCGGCTGGATTCTTCTTCAAACACAATGACACAAATTCTTTAATTGGACGAGAAAAATGCTCGTCTAGCTGTATACAGAAAATAAAGTTGATCTCGGTAAATTACAGAAGTTTTACAGAGGCAAATTATCTAAAATCACTGGGTGGGAAGACTGTAAAAAGTAAGAACCTGTGGCGGATTCTCTCGGGGAATAATGAAAAGCACTCTCATAGGATGAAGGTCTGCAAGTGGAGGTTCTCCTTTTGCCATCTCAATAACAGTTATTCCCAAAGACCAAATATCTGCCTGTTTCAAGCCATATTGAAAAAGGGGAAACAAAATAATTTACGACAATTGTATCTACAAATAATGTAAACCAGAACAGTGAAGTTGTATGGAGAATTTATAGATAATTGGTAAAATTTTTACCTTCTCATTGTATCCGTCCGAGTTTTGAATTACTTCTGGGGCCATCCAGAATGGTGTTCCTACAAAAGTCTGACTTTTAATTGAATTAGAGAGGTTTGACGGCTCCTTGAATATTTCATCTTAGCTTAAAATAAAATCAAGAAAGAATAGTGTAATATAGAGTCCAAACACATTATATTTTAGATTATAGGATAGAACAATTAAATAATACCAAACAACCATTCTTACACATCACATCAATTTTAATTCACTATTCATCCACTCACATAATTTTTAACTAACCAAATCCCACTAACAACTAACCATACCAACTTTTTCAATAATAACCCTGGTTAACAAAAAAAAAAAAAAAAATCTCATTTTGAGCTGATATAATTGTATTCAAGCACGCCATAAATGGACAAACTTGGTTTGTAGCAACAGAAAAGAAAGAAATTTTTTATAACGGTCGAGTGTGCATATGCCACAAAAAAACTGATCCCAATAAAAAAGATAATGATACCTTCCTTCTCGATATAGTTCGTGTTAGTTGAGCAGAAACGCCAAAATCTGCAACCTGTATCGTATGGAATAAAATAGTAAAAATGTAATCAACTGCTAGCCACTAAATTAAACCCCTAAAGGTAGCATCCGTAAAATAGTATAATTGAGTAAATAACAATGAATTTTTCAGTCGCCACAAAATCGTACCTTAACATCGCCATTCTCAGTCAACAAAATGTTTGCCGCTGCCAAAACATTATATAAACATTATTTTGATGAACTTCGGAAAAGGAAGGAAGAAGAAAAATAATTAATCAGGTCTTAAGGCCAATAAAGTGGCTCGAAAGGCTGTATGATGCCTTCATATGAAGATTGCAGAATAAAATGTAACAGATCAAGTAAAAATTAGAACCAAATTTTAGTTTCCCTTGATAAACAAGAACTCTGCATGAGGACCTAGTTCAGATAAAACTAAGTTCTATTATATGCCCCTAACAACAAACCTTTGATATCTCGATGAATTTTCCCCTCACTGTGGAGGTAGTCAATTGCATGGAGCAAATCTCGTAAAATACAAGCTATTGAAACTTCATCCAGTGGCTGGTTTGGTTGAATCTGCATGTGATAAAAGCATAGACACTCAATCTGTTGTGTTACAGATCATTCTGTAAACAGAATATATACGCATGGAAAAATTGCAATTGAAGAAACAAATAAAACAAGGGTTAATTGCTAAATAAACCTTTTTGCATTTGGCAATTTTATCCCAATCTTTGGGTAATTGCAATATAATCTCGACCTCAATTTACTTATTGCAAGTCCAACCTAAAACCGGTCGAACCTTCAAAAAATTGGTCGATTTGAAGGCGGTTAGAACAGATCGGAGCTCATATTTACCGGTTCACACTCAAGATCTAGGAGGAGACTCATCACCAATAGCTTACATCGACGTGGAATTTTCGGCTTTGTGCGTGGATATACATTAAATACGTGGAAATTGTCAACTTGCTACGTGGATGACATAAAAACCCGTTTCAATGGAAGACTTGGACACAAAATCAATGCACAAATCCCTAAAATCAATCACTCTGCACCTCAATTTCAATAAGTAAATTAAGGTCGAGATTATATTCCAATTACCCTAAGATTGGGATAAAAGTGCCAAACCCAAAAATGTTAAGGTTTATTTAGCAATTAACCCATAAAACAATTTCATAAATCAACTACCAGATCAGCAACTGAGCCACCAGCCATGTATTCCATTATTATCCATAGCTTCGTTTGGTGCAGAAAAGAACCATAATAATCGGTGATATAAGGAGATCGACATTCTTGAAGAACAGCAATTTCCTATTGATAGAAGAGAGAGAGAGAGAGAGAGAGAGAGAGAGAGAGAGAGAGAGAGAGAGAGAGAGAGAGAGAGAGAGAGAGAGAGAGAGATAATGAGATTCATAAAGCGTTTTAAATATTAATCCACATACAAACTCAAATGTACCTTTTGGATGTCCTCTATTTCATCCTCCCTGTGGAAACACAAACAAACAGCACATATTATATTTCAGAATAACAACACAAAAATCGGTGCACAGTACAAAGGTTGAAGTAGTAAGAATAAGAAGGGCAAGGAGGCATGATGATTAATTTTTGCAAACCAATTTATCGTAATTTACATAGCATTTTTGGTACTAAGTACATACCGGCATTTCTGAAGTTTTAAACTTATTCCAATTTCATAATAATTAAAGCATACAGTAACCGATATAGATCCGGCTTATATACTCACGATTCTTCTAAATCAATGACCTTAATGGCAACCTCTTTGTTTAATTCCTTATCGAATCTGCACGAGCAAAATCGACAAATAGAATAGATTAATCAGCAAACAACTTTTTATACATACCATTCATAAAAAACGAATATATATTAATGCAAATAGATGAAATCTATGTCGCTAAAGAGGACTTCACCATGAAGTTCATACTACTGTTGTCTTTTACACATCTTTATGATGCTCTGAGTATCTTCTTGCTAAAGTAGCAATCAGTCACAAGTAAAATCAAATCTTCTACTAATGACACAGCAGGAGAGTGATAAGATAATATTTCATAATTTCCACAATCTCCGCACAAGGTAGAATCTCATAATTTAGCCACGAACTCCAACTATAGACATTTGCGATAATGATAAAACTGATGTAAAGATGGAAATCATAATAGCAAACATAAAATCATTACGAAGAGAGAAATTCATAATAAAGATCCTCAAAACTAAACTAAGCAGTCTTTAGGCAGATTCTTTCTCCGCCACAAATATGGATAACCATACCGGTCAGTAAAAAGTAAAAATTCACATATTCGCAACTCACATTTTCAGCATTGCTTATTTTAGAAATATATTTATTCAGTTTGCGAGCCATTGCCACGTGCTCGATGGATCACACTTATAAGCCACATTGGAATATCCGCAATCACTATGTATGGGCCGTTCAAGACATCGAGTAAATTAAATGACATGTTTAACAATATACAATTTAGTCAGAGATTGGTGATCTAAGGCCACAAAAATCTTTATCGTATTCAGACGATCCCATAAAGAATCCAAAGGTTTGATCCGCATATAGCAGTGTAATCCAAAACAAGCTGTAAGAATTGCAATCTTTTGAACCTAACATTTATTCAACCAAAATTAGCACAGAAATATAAAATTGTCATTATGTTAATCTTGATTAGTTATCTAAGTTTGATAAATGATGACATAACGGGAATATATTATCATAACTACTTTAAAGGCAACCCCAAAAGTTTACATCTTCTTCATGCACGAAAACCAAAAATGCGAGTTATTATCTGCTCCTGCAGTACATTTTTGACAAGGCAGATGAACAAATAATCTAAGTTGCCCACTTTGATTTCTTTAAAAACCGAAAGCTGCTAATGTAATGAATCTTAATATATCCAACGGTAACTACACATTTGAAAAATGTAAGGAATCACATAATGGGATCCCACAGGGCACGACACAAGTGAACTACACTGCACGAGAGAGAATAAACGAGTATCGAGTTCAACACTAAATCATACCCCTTGTAAACATCCCCAAAAGAACCTCTTCCAATTAGCTCCAAATTGCTAAATCTCGACCCTGAAGCCTCGATCAGGGCCTCTGCGTCTGCCATTGCACAAATTATTCTGACAGCAGAATATTCTCACTTCCTCACAGTCTTCACTGAACAAACAAACTCCAGAGCCAGATTGACAAATTCACTCAAAAACTCATGATTTTGGCCAAAAACATCATCTCATTGCCTTGCAAACATCCACTCCACCACAAAAACATCCAAAAATCTGAGGAAACAAAAAATAAAACATTCGAAACAAACCAAACTGATTAAGACAGAACCACCAGAATTAGGTAAAGTGGGGGATTCTAAAGTGACGGCACAACAAATTTCATATGAATTGTTCATAAAAATTGTGTCTTTATAATTGACAAAAGCCCACAAAATAACAGCGAGATTGCCAAACAAATACGCGTGGAGTCACTTCAGATGTGAGGCATAGCGTGGATTTTTCGCTTCACGCATAAAAATGGAAGCTTTAAATACAGGAGAAAGAACACTGACCTCGCCGCCACTACCGATTTGAGGGATTGGTTTCAAGATTCACAGAGCCCAGAAGGAAATTTTCAAATTAATTGAAAACACACACACACACACACACACACACTAAGAGAAAAAAATCAGAGACCCTCTTCTTGAATGGATGATATGTATACAACTATACGTACAGTTATATACAGACAAGTAAAATCCTTTTATTTATCTGCTCCTTCGTTTCTGGATTTTGCAGGGTTATAAAAAGGATCGATAAAGAACAGTGTTGCTTCGTTCTTTAGAAAAAAGACACGAAATACAGATGTAAATCTTATGTCACTAAGCAAATATAATTATATTTTATTGAGTAAGGATTAGTTATTTTAGATTTTTATGATTTGGATTGGGTGTACTAAATTACGGAAAATAATACGGTCATATTACGGAACTATTTTGTCGGAGGTTGTAATCGTTAGATCAACTATTTCGACGATTACATGACGATCCAACGGTTACAAACCCGACGAAATAGTTATGTAATAGACTGTAGCATCTCCCATAAATTACTACTAATCAGGGTTGGATAAGAAAATTATATTTATGCATTCATCCCCTTTTTTATTTAAATTTTATGACTTTGAATAACAATTGTAAGATTAAAATTTTGAGATTTTTTTACAAACATCGCATGGCATTATAGAACTTTTTAAAATCATAAAAAAAATAATATCATACATTTAAAAGTAAAAAATAAATAAAAAATACACTAGAATTATTTTATAATTTCAAAAAATTTTAAAAGCTCTAAATTAACACACCCTTAGTTTAACTACTTCTGGGTATAGGTTTGACGATTTTGTTATGGAGTCATCTAATGGCTCGGCTTACGGAGCTATCCACAATATACACAAATGATGTATTGAACATGTATCAGTACATAAAATTATGGATGACTCCATAAGGGATCCATCCGACAGTTTCATATAATTTTTGATAGGCTTCGTTAGTTATTGTGTTTTCTATAATATAAACTTAATGTTTTGCTAAAAGTGAAGAACTATAGGCTATATTCATTCACTAAAATTAAATTGCATTGATTGGATTAGGCTATAGGCTATTAATGAACCAAATGTTCTCGAATAAAACTCGTCCGAGCACGTACGTATTTGACAAGAACTCATTTATTTGTTAATTTCCAACGAACACAAACTCGTTCGTGAATATTTAATAATTTACAAACAGTAATTTAATATAATTTTTATTTTATTTTTATAAGATGTTTTTAATAAAAAAATTTAAATATTAAAACATTTTTTACTTTTTTATTTTCAAATTCGAACTAACAAAACTCAAGTTAACCAAACTATTTTAAAAAGTCAGAATTCTCCATTAATCGAAAAAGCACTTAAACTTTGACGAACAATTAAACCAACAAGCTCGAAAACGATTTTTTACTACATTGTTCGACCATAACCTTACACGACCTCAAAATGGGGCTTGATTGTTTATGAAATAATTTCTTCAAATTGAGTTATTTTGGTTAACTATAAGTTAATTTTGAAAAAGGTGGTATGGTTAGTTGTAGTGGAATTTTAAGAATGTATTAAAATAATATTCAAAATAAAATAATTAAAATTGATTTGATGTAAAAGTAAAAGATAAATGATTGAAAATGATTGGAAATGATAGGTAGTTAAAATTATGTGAGTGGATGAATAGTGAATTAAAGTTGATGTGATGTGTAAGAATGATTGGTTTATATTATTT